CCCCCCCCCCCCCCCCCCCCCCCCCCCCCCCCCCTCTACGCTCTGCCAATGAAAGGCGTCTGATCCAACCTTCACAACAGGGTCCTAAGTCTCTGACTAGACTCTTCTCCTCTGTCGCCCCCCGGTGGTGGAATGAACTTCCAAACTCCATGTGATCTGCAGAGTCACTCTGCACCTTTAAGAAAAAGCTAAAGACCCAGCTCTTTCATGAATACCTACTAACTTAATGATGATGGTCTCCATATTATTGATGATGATGATGGTAATGACGATGGTTTTTGTTTGATAACGACGACTTATTAAGATGGTTTCATACTGATTAGAGCTCTCAAGAACTGCCTCAATGTTGTGCTTTGCCTCTGTCACTTCCTGTCAGCACCTGTGTGTCCAATCAGACTCAAAGCTGATCGTTTCTCTTACTGACATTGTTCCCTTTTTTCTAGATCCTTGCTTGTGTTTCTTACTCTCTGATGTACGTCGCTTTGGATAAAAGAGTCTGCTAAGTGAATTGTAGAGTCACTTACTTTGCATTTCAGAAACTGATATGGACGCCATTGATGTTTGCCTGGACGGACAGTTTCTGGTGGTCTGAAAAAAATGGAACCCTTCATTTGATCTACTATGTTCTCTGTGATGGCAAGAGCCACAAAGGGGTAATATCACTCAGGTTATTAGTTGTTCACCAGCACATGTTTATTTAGCAGTCAACAATACAAACAGCTTACAAACTTAGTTTGATTTATTATGAGCTTATTTCTTCATTTAGTCTTTCATTGTTTAGATCAGGATGTCAAACATACGGCCCGCGTGCCGTATCCGGCTCGACAGCAGGTTTCATACGCCCGCGAGACGCTTTGGGAAGAAGGGGGAAATGTATAAAAACATATTTTGAGATTTTTTATAAATTAAATATTTGTAATACTTATTTCCCCCGAATTGTATTTAAATATTATGTATAATGAGCAACGTAAAGGTTGATATCATGATACAAAAATTACTTAATTGGGCACTTTGAACTCTTCTCAGCAGGGAGAAGGCCTATCATAAAAAAGACGAGGCCGAGCGCACGAGCTGCTCCTGCATTACCCTAATCAGCAAACAGGCTGAACACCTGAGAGAGTGACACAGAATGCAGGTTTTCAAGAGAGATCGAAGGGAGATATTTATTTAGTTTTATTTGCTCACAGCTGCCACGGACTTAAGGACAGGCACACCGCTGCACTGCACGCTCATCCTGACGGTCTTCAGCTCTGTTCACACTTCTTACCAGTTTCTCCTGTCTTGACTGATGGAAAACAAAAGTTTTGGCTGATAATCACAAAGCTTCCTATGGAGTGAGCCACAAAGAGCGGCTCGTGCAAATAAAAAACAATCCTCTCTGTCCTGCGTAACGGCCCAGACCGTCTCCTCACATCCAGACTAAGTGTAGGTTGTGGACACCGGCGTTGAGCCTGATGATAGACTTATTTTACCTCTGGTTATTGTAAAAACAGTAAATTAAAATGAATATTAACTGATTTTAATTACAGATGGTTCATTTTTAGGTCACTCAAAGGTGAACGTGTTGTGTTGATCACCTAAAAGTTTCAGTGCGACATCACTTCTAAATGCAGTAGACTGCTGTTGCGCCTTTATCACCAGCTTTCATCAGACTGTAAAAATATAACTATTACTGAACATTTCATTCTTTTTTTGTAATTCAACTTTTTATTTTAATTTAACATTCAACAAACAAAACAAACAGCATTGTTGTTGTACAATAGTATGCCCAAAGTCCCATAACAACTGAGTACATAATTGGAACCAAAATAACAATTCAGTAACCACAGTATACACAGTACCACATCTTTATCATTACAATGCACCAATGGTACTACATGTATAAGCAAAAAAGTGGCCCCATAACCTCTGGAAGTTCTCACCTTCATTATTGATTACTGACATAAGTTCCATCCATTGCTTAAATTTGGTCAATTCAGTTTGATCCCCTAACAGTCAAATCCTTGGTGATTTAGGTATTGTCATACCGAACCCGAACATTTCATTCTTATCCAAAAACGATATCACGCACAGGCTGTCCGATCATACAGAGGTTCGCTGGTTTAACCGTGGAGCAGCGCTAAAATTCTTCCTTGAATTACGCACGGAGATGAAACAGATTCATGACGCATAAAACGTCAGTGACAGAGTTAGATTACGATAGTGCGGACAAGTAGAAGAACGGACTGCCAGGCTCATATCAGAAGTCGTTTAACTGAGTTTACTTAGTTGAAGAACGAGCACTCCACACGGAGCTGATCAGACTGCAGTGATCAACGCTGAAGGATCAATTCAAGTCTGTTGGTTTGGAAACATGTTATCATTTTATAATGCCTAATACTAAAATACCTGAAGGTGACTTTGGTCTTTGCATTGTAGCGGGTTTGACAAGGTTTTAATTTTGGGGTGCCAGTCAGAGTCAACACTGTAAAAACTGAGATCGGGGTTAATTAATATTCACCAAATAAATTCAAGTAAAATATACATAATAAAAAAAACTATGGGCTGTTTCGACTAATGGTTTGTTAAATTAAACAAATATCAAGAAATTGTTGGTAACATTTTACAGCGATTGAGTGTGTGTTTCTGTGTGTAAAACCAGCTTTGAAAATGTATGTGAAATGTAATTATTTTGGATCGGAACATGACAAATGCAAAATATTGATTAATTTTAATTAAGGGGAGGTCTTTGGTTTTAGTCTCTATAGACTTCCGCGCACTTATTTTCTCTTCACGGAGTGACGTTCATCGTCAGTGCCACACATTGAGGACTCGGCTACTTTTTCCTCAGGTAAGACCTGCTTTTCTGATTTTAGTCAACAGTTTGGTACCAAGCGCTTGTAGAAGTTGAATATTTTTTGGGCTGCTGCGAGTTACTAAATAATAGCCTACAACTTTAATTCCCTGTTTAGTCACAATAAGACTGTTTTTGTCCGAAGTTAGCCTGCCATGACTTTGAATTAACATGAGAGACAAGGACTTCAATATGGGTCTCTAAATGACGTTACGTTGTATGACAATGTTTCAGTGCAACATTATGATCATAACGTTAATGTAGTAAATCAGCTCCAAAAATGTTTATCTTTTACCGAACTGCAGCGCGAGCAGCTCAACCTTAAGGAGCTAGCAAACAAGCTACGTCGGTATATGTCACCATGCTGAAACAGCCCTACACAACAAGGACTGTGGAAGTTATCGCTGAATTCTGTTCACATTTTAATGCACACATATTAGTCCCAAAAGGCTACTTTTAACTCTTTTCCCAATATGTAACCCCCCCCCCCCCACCGCACGCACACACACACACACACACACACACACACACACACACACACACACACACACACACACACACGCAGACGTACGCGCACGCACGCACGCACGCACACACACACACCACAGACGCGCGCGCACGCACACACAGACACCTTAACGAGGGAACATGTTACGACTTGAACCGCCTGCTTCAACGCTCATGGCTGAACAAGGACAGTGTCTGTGGTGAGTTAGAAAAATTAAGCCAACAACATTTCGTCTCACCTGACATTAAGTAATGGTTTTTATTTAAGAAGCGTATAGTTTCATACTTTTCAAATTTGCGTGTTCCGGGAGTAATATAAAAAAAATTCTCTTGTTGCACTGTTGTACAAGATATGTTTTCCCTCCTTTGCTTTAATACAAAGGTCTACTGTTGTGTTTTAGACACTCTGGTTCCTAGGGTACACAACATTGAGGGCTTTATCTGGCCAAAACGATCACGAAAAATCCACCGCTCGTCTAATATATTTATGAGTCCGTATGAGTCCGTTTTTTACATAAACATTTTTTTTACATAAAAATTTTGACAAAAAAAAGAGTGACAAAATGTTTTGTCACTCAACATGCGTATAAACAGCATGTTTGATGGAGGTCTGTGTACATTATAGTTATTATAGAGTTTAGAATAGCTTGACAAATGGTAAATAAATGCTTTCATAAGCATATACCAAAGGAAAAAATACTGCTCAAAGCTTGCACTTTCACAGTGCAGGAGACAAAATGGTGATTCTCACCATTAAACAGCACAACTTCTAGCTGCTTAATGAACACTAAAATGAGGAAACAATAGATTCAACTGCAATTGCAGAAAAAATACATTTTACTTTTGATTAATTATGAATTAAACCCTTCATTACAAACCTCAGAGTCGGATTTACAGAAACCATAATTTATTTTTAGTTCATGTACTTTTTCTAAATGTTTAAGCCATTGTTTCTTTTATTGACTTGTCCCTTATGAGCCCATTTAATTTGGTAACTGAATCCTCACTTGTCCTTTACTATTTCAATCTGTTTTATAGTTTATTTTAGTTATTATTGCAAATACTTTTTATGTTAAGAGCAAAATAACCTTTTTTACTGTAGGTTAACTAACTATCAATTTAATATTTATAGATATGTTTGGGCTTCTGTCTGTGATGCTATTGACCTTGTCTTTTCACAGTCTTGAGAGGAACACAGAGATGGAGGCAAAACTCCGAATATTGATTGATGACCAAATTGAGAAGTTGATCCTTCCATCAGGCATCCCATCCACTGTGGAGGAGCTGCAAACTGTTGTGAAGGAGACTTTTAGTGTATCTGACGAGTTCAGTCTTCAATATCTTGACCCAGAATTCAAGGATTTCTTTACTCTCAGAAGAACGGACCAAATCAAACACAAGGACACAATAAGGGTGGTCAACTCGTCTTCGGTCATTCTCAACTTGTTTCCAGTTGATGAAAGTTTAAGCAGTTCCTTTGGCCAGACGACTACTGACTGTGATTCTGCATCACTTGCAGAGTCATTTACTGGATCGTCTTCATCACAGGACACTCTTATCTTGCAGAGGCACAGTAACACAGAACGATATCAGCCATGGCCAAAAATGTTTCCCATTCCCCAATTTGCTTATGAAACTGAAATGTACATCACAAGAGCCATGGAAGAATTCAAGAAGAGCGGAACTCTCCTGACTATCTCAAAAATCAAGGCAGATGTACTTGAGAAGCTAGCTGAAAATATATATACATATACTGCCTATCCATCCAGTGCTCAAATAAGCGATGTTGCTGAGGCTCTCGTCACAAAATTTCCATGTCTCAAGGAACCTGGCTCGTACTCTGGATTCTACGGCTGGCAACAAAGCATAAAATACAAGATGGCCAATTATCGCACCAAACTTCGTGGCTATGGTGTTCCTGAGGTTTTATGCAATGCACTGAAACGCAAGAGCTCTGCTGACCAGAGGTCAGCTAAAAATGTGAAAAAGCCTCGAAAGGCTGAGATCAACTACCTCCCTCCTTACCCAGCAGGTGAGGATGAAAACAGTCAAGAACAAGTGAGGATTCAGTTGCTCAGTGAAGTCATGAAGAGGGACAACAACAAGATAATTAAAGAAAAAATGGCAAAGACATTTGCCCACAGAAGAAATGAAATCATCAACTGTTCACCATGCATTGAAGACATCAAAGCCAGATGGCCAGCTCTTTTTGAGCCATCTCATGTGAGTTACATATAGATGCTATTAAGAAATATTTCTTCTGTTGTAAATGAATTCACTAGTGGTTGTGGATAAGAAGGTTGATGATGTAATGTACTTGAATGAAGCATATTAACCAGCTGGATAGTTAGATGATTTAACCCAGAAGGTAAAGAATCCATAGTTAGTTTTAATACAAATCATACAAATAATGATAGGACTGGGGATTACATGTTGTATAAAGAAATGTAAGAACAATATTTACACTTGAAATACTTTAGGGTTTAAAACTGATTTCTTGTTTGTCTCTCAGCTTCAGGATGAGTTTCTTAAGATCACGATGGTCAGCCTTGAATCCCAGTTCATGTTCAAGCTTGATGAATACACTCCCAGACTGCTGAAAATCTTCCACTCCAAGGGCGGAAGTATGGGTTTGAAGTTACGGTCCATCCTACTCAAGGTATCCTCAAACAATTTTTCTGTTAGGCCAAATTGAAGTTCAGACATTTTGTGGTCAAATTACTCTAATATTACCAATTGTAGGATTTGGAAAATATCTAATCTAATGCCTCTTGCGCATGCTCAATAATCACATTGCAAGGGTATGCGATGTCAGTCATGTGACCAGAAACAAGTTATGCTGCCATTTATCTGTGGCTTCATTTAAAATAACTCACCAGTTTCTCTTTAACCATGAATAATGATAATGATAACAAAAGGTCTGATATCACATAAGTTCAGCCTATCACCAGATCACACAGAGAACTGACTGCTTTACATGCAGAATGTGAGCAGACATATATGCTGCTGTCAAACAAATCTCTCTAGCCAGAATTTCTGTGACTCCTCCAAAAAAGAGCCATGTGTTATTTTATAATGCATTGTTGTCTTGTACTTTTAGTACAGGAATTATATGCCAGTTAGCCAGCTAACAAACTCTATTAACCTAATAATAAAAATGCAGTTTAAACAGTTTCAAGGTTAAATGATTATTTTAAATCATGAATTTGGTTGATTTTTATTTCAGGTTCCCAGCAGTCCTCCCATCGATGAGAGTAGAGAGGCTGTCATTCATTGTTTGTTGGCTTATCTTGGGGAATCTACTGATCAGCTCTTGAAAGAGTATGATGTAAGTTTAAGTCCATCTTAAAAAATGCAAGTGCTGTCAGTGTTAACGCAAGTTGTGATTTATTCAGAGACCTTGATGCAACTTTTTTTTTATGCATTCTGTGTATGTGAGTTCAGGTAATTCTATGTATTTCTACAGATTTTGGACTTCTGCATTGGCTCCATTTTCCAACAGAAAAATGAAAATGCTAAGTTTTTAAACAGCATCAACTCTGTTGTAGTGTAAACTGGCAACAAGCAGTTCCTCTAAAAACAGAACTGCATGTGCTCATTACGCAGCTATTAGTGAGTAGGTGTAGAACAACAACCAAACCTTCTTAGTGCCAGCGTCTTTCTTCAGTTGTTTTCAATAGGTAGAGAGCGTTTGCAGCCGCCTGAAGAAAACAAGCTCTCTGCCGTTTTTGTGCGGCTGCTCCGAGCGCTCAAGTTAAAAATCTTTCAACCTTTCAGAAAGGCGCTGTTGACGTCACAGACGCTCTTTTCAAAATCTATGATATACCCCGTATTTTAGCCTCCTACAGATCGTATCTTGTACTCACATCCTCTTTGCTCCGTTTCTGCTTGGGTAAAAAATAATCTCAAATATAAAACATGCAGTAAAAAGTAACAGAGCTGTGTCAGTCTTACAGCTGCCGTTGTCAACAAACTGTTGTCATAGAGAGAGGACGGATGCGTGCAAACACTCCCGAGTGCACAGCCAGCGCTTTACTGCCCAGAAAAAACGCTAGCTGGACACGGGGCCTTAGTCACTGTTTTAAGCAAGGTGAAATATGTGCCATAGCTTTGATAGACCAAGGCTATATTGTCCAAAGGGGTGAAGAGAATTTGGTGATTTCCTAGGGGAAATTAGTTTTTGCAGCCAGGTGAAAACAAATAAGGTGTGGATCACACAGGCACATTAGGAACAACATTCAAAAATGTTAAATACATAAATACTCCCTCCTTATTAGAGCTCATTAGCTTGATCGCCTGAGTTTATAATAATGACCTTTGTCTGTGGCTGTACAGTCTGATATACACAATATTCTTGTAATTCCAGGATGCTGATGAAGACAGTGTGGCACGGGACCTGGCTGTACAAAGCATGAAGATCTACAGAATCAAGACCAATGTGTCAGAGGACCCTGAAGACATTGGAATTGTGGTTGACGGTGTCAAAGCTCTTACTGCTTTGAAGAACTTTCCCAGGGCCTGCTCCATGCTTGTTGGGCTGTTATGCAGTGGATCTTGCCTATCCAAAGGAGCTTCGATACACATTTAAAGTTTTCCAAAAACTCCTTCTTGAACTGGATAGTTCAAAGCTGTCCCCAAAAGTTACCAGCCTCAAGAATAAACTGTTAGCTTGAATAAAGGGACAATTGAAGAATGAGGTGGATGTTAAAGTCACTGTCAGGTGTTAATCATAGACGTTCAAGTTCACAAAATTGTACACAAAATTTCATACAGTACAAAGATAAGAATACATACTTGCAGTTCAGAAATATTGTTCAAATGCTAAGTACTTTAAAAAAAGCTAAGAATATTCTGTGCTTGTGATGGACAGAGTTTATGTGCAGTGTTGTTAAATGCTTATAAGCTTTTGAATCTTTGAGTAATGACAGGTCTTTGTTAGTACACTGATGGGAGCCTAGTAACTATGTGAACAAGACCCTGTGTTAAGCATTGTTTACCAAAATGATACACCATAAGGCCAGTGGATGTTCTTTGCCTGTAGTACACATGGTTTACAGCCTTTTTTTTGTAGCTCCTCCCAATATTTTATATTTGCATAATATAGCACTAAAAAAGGTTTTATAAGCTTGTTTATAATACATGTTTTTGTACTGTCCTTTAATGCACTGTGATCTTTTGTAGTGGTATTAAGTAAAGCTTACTACAAAAAAGCCAAAGTATTGAGTAGATTGTGCTTAGAAAATGTATGGCAACAAAGTGACAAACAAATGTATTGAATAGATTTAAAGCACTGTGATACTTAATGAAGCATAAATTTAATCAATTATTCTAGGTAGAAATAATTAGGAAAGGCCATGTAAATGTGTTGAATTGATTGTTTTTATTAATGTTACTAAGTGATTCCAAATATTTTTTATGTAGATTATCCATAAAAATAATTCAATTTTGATTCAACAATTAGTAAATTAAAATAAATTTCTACCAAATATTAAGTACATATTAATAAGTTTCCACTATATTTTCAGTAAATTTGAATTAATTTCCACCAAATACATAATTAAAAAAAAGTTAAATTTCCTCAGTTACCCCATAAATATAAATAACTTTTTCGTGAGAAATTGTGTTTGATTTGCTTAATTTTTTTTGCTATATAACTCATATTTTGGCATCATATTACTAAATGCAATACATTTAAACACATTTTTAAATAGTATGTACTAATTTAGTTTTTTTTTAAATAACTGAAATAATTCAGTAGTTTTTATTAAAGTTGAAGAACTTTAAATCTACTTAATAAATTTACGTGTCACTTTGTTGCCTTAATTTTTTTAAGTAACTAATAGTCAAACTTTTTACGGTGTAATATTTGTTTTCTTTCAGTGTTTGATTTTGTTTCCATTGTGGCGTTTATGACCCCTGCTATGAATGTAACCAGTTTCTTCAGATCCACGCACACTTTCCCTTCTTCTGTTTGTTCTGGCTGTTTGTTCTTCTGGCCTTCATTTGTATCTTCCATCTCTCTCCCTCTCCCCTGTTTCACCACCTTCACAGCTTCTGCATATGTGATTGTATTGTGCACTCTGACTTGTTGAACCTGCACCTCCGTTTTCATCACCTCACATATGCCACACTGTGATTTCCTCCACAGTTACAACACTTTGGTTGCATACCTGTTTTACACTGCTCATATTCATGATCCTCCCCACACCTTGCTCACCTTCTCCTTCCCTTACATGTCTGAGCAGTGTGTCCAAATCTTTGACAGTTAAAGCATCTCATTGGTCTGGGTATATATTCCCTTATATTGTAGGTCATATATCCCAACATAACTTTCTGAGAAATTCCTTCTCTTCAACCCTGATTTCCCCACTTCCTCCTCCAGATCGTAGTTTCCTTTGTTTCTTTATACCAACGAGCTCAAAAGAATTGCCTCTTTTGTCTCTTGTTCTCTCACTTCCCTGACTGATCTCCATACTGTCCTCACTTTTAATCTCTTCTGAGTCACCCCATTCTGGTCTGTTCACAGCATAGCTGTGCCTACCCGCGATAGCTTTCACAGATCTGTTGAGTTTCCCCGTGTCATCCAGGGATATCCCTCGCCTCCGATTTCCAGGTGTCAACCGTAACTTTTCCTGTGTTAAATCAGCAGATTCTTCATCTAATCTTACTTTCAAACTCTTAACCATGAGTTTGTTAAGGTGCTGTCCAACCCGGCTACTACACTGAGCATGCGCCTGTTCCGCCTGGACCTTCTACGTAGCCTCGGAATACTACGCCGGCTACATCCAGCGGCCTGTGAAGCAGCGGAGCCTCGTACCAGCGGAGTCTGCCAGTGGAGGAGACGGAAGCGGTGTGACCGGAAGCAAAAACGGGGATGCCGAGCGGGCTAACAACCAAGCTAAAAGCTAACCCGCACAGAACACCGTTTCCTTCCATCCTGCTTTCTAATGTCCGCTCCCTGGAGAACAAACTGGACTACCTGAAGCTGGATTTAACTGCAAAACGGGAGATGAGAGACTGCTGCACCATATTTCTCACAGAAACGTGGCTGAAACCATCCATTCCAGATGAGGCAGTTAGCATAGAGGGGCTAACATTATTTCGGTCGGATAGGAGCAGCTCTCTCACTGGTAAATCCCGAGGTGGCGGTGTTTGCATATTCACCAACAACAACTGGTGCAACAACGGTGAGATAGTCTCAAGTCACTGCTCTCCTGATGTAGAACTACTGACTATTGTTGGGGTTGTATCAAGTCAACTTTGGTTATATTCTTATAACCATATTCTTATATATAATTAACTTAATTATTAATAATATAAATAAAATATCATTAAACTATGTTTAATCTTGTTTTGGGGCACCAACCTGTAATCAGGTAAATATAACCAAAATATCACTCAAATCAGTCTCAAATTAGTTATTTAATTACTAATATTATTAATAATGAATAACTATATTTAATAAATTGAAGGCGTGAAATCCGTACACAAAGCCTTCGCACCCAGCTTATATCACAATGCAAATACACCAGTAACCACAAACAACTGCTCTCTTAAATTATTCAGTTTATTTAAACAAAGCAACATCAATCCAAAATCAATGAACTCAATTAAACAAATAACTATTATAAACTAATCTAAGCAACAAACATTATCAAGCAAGGCTTGTGGATGAGGTGTAAATGTGTGTGTGTGCAGATGAGTGTGTATGTAGATGTGTGAGGAGGCGCCAGCCCAGCCACACACCACTCCTCATCAAC